TTTTGAGACCACTTCGTTTTTGGTGCGAATACGAAAACCGACACCTCTGTGAAGGTCGTTGCACATATCGCCTTTGTGATAAAAATCAACTGAGTTTACTTTTTATGCTTATTTGTGATAGATTAATGAATAGATACCGTTTTTTACCGATATATGGCAAAGTTCTCTACGCGAATTCTGCTAGGAATGAAAGCTTTAGTGGTTATATTTAAGAGATTATATCCACTTGCAAGTTGGACAAAACGTATTTTTTGTAATTTTTTTTTTGTAGCTTATTTAATAAAAAAAATTAATAATACAGTTGAACTTGCCAAACTCGAATCTTCATAATCCACAGAAAACTTCGAGTTAGAGGGGTTACATGGGTCTACGGGTTTAGAAAAATTGAATTTTTTTTTATTGTCTTATTAAATTCTACAACACCCTTTTGAATATTGTCCTAAATTTTCAAGTTGATCCGAGTAATAATTTCGGAGATACAGCCTTGTGTGATCGAGGCTAGCTAGGCTAAGTGCACCGTCCTCTGTTTTTGTCTCGAGAACTACTCAACGGGCGCATCTTTATCCGAGGGGTCAGCGGAAATGGTCTCACAATGGCCGAGTTTAAAATATTTGTTTCCAAAAATTACAGTTTTTTTTTGGTAATGGTGTATGTTTGAAACAATTAAAAAGTCTAATAGAATATTGCATTTTTTATATGAGAAAAAGTGGTTGACCCCCTTTCCCCTTGAAGCCATGGAAGTGCGTTCCTGTACCTACCTAAGTTAGTTACATTTAAGTGAATAGTCAACTATTGTCATTGGTCATCAAATATTCTGTACCTAATGACCACGCCCACTTTTTTACATTTTTTGCCCTCAGGTGTGCTTTACTATTGCGATCCCCTGTGCCAAATTACAGTGCTCTATCTTAATTTAGAGCTTAGTTAGGGCACTTTATAGGTTTTCGTTTAATGGTCTTTTGTGGGCGTGGCAGTGGTCCGAATATGCTCATCTCCGAACTTATAATTCGTTTTGCCATAGAACGCGTATACGAAGTTTCATCAAGATATTTATATTTTTATTTAAGTACAGCTGGACGGACGGACAGACAGTCACTCGGATTTCAACTCGACTCGTCAACCTGATCATTTTACGTGATCTTTATGGCCCACAGCGCATCGTAAGAGATTGTCGAGCTACTAGCTCTGAGCAAGGCAACTTTCATCGCAATTGTAAGTGTTCTAACTGGACACTGTCCACGTGGTGTGACTTTTCAAATATTTTGTCGGTCACAAAGTGGAATCATTTTGTCACTTACTCTATTGAACGACTTTTGCCAGACTGAGAGGCTGAGGCTCGGTAGGCACATCTTTGGCGAATCGAATGCAGTGGCTGCGGTTGATATTAACTGCCTTAATAAATTAATGGTAAAAGTGAGGTTTATGGGTAACACAAGGGACGAATATATTCATCCATCGATTTTAGATTGATCAACCCACCGGCCTAACCTAATCTGCCTAATGCTTTAATCTAGACATCCAACGCTCTTGGCTCTATCTAATTATTCATTTAAGAGTTTTTCGAAATTGACTTAGTATTCCCCCTCACCGATTAGCCCTTAAATTGGCCTCAATTTAGAAGAAATATAAATACGATATGATTCCTTATATACCTTATTTTTTGAATAATGCATCAATAAAATAAGTATTAATCGGAAATATTTCCCACAAACGTCATTTCACATGCAAATAATTAGTTTTCACTTCAGGCTCCCTTTCATTTGTATTCATGTTAATTTGTATGATTTCACAATTCACACTTTTCCGCCATTTAACGCACGAACAATAGAATTTCACTTCCAATTGCTTTGGAATAAAGGCTTTTATTGTGGGTTTCGGCTGCAAATGGCTCGCTTCATGTCAACGATAGTTCGCTGCGTAATGACATTTAATCGTCAAATGTGCGGCGGGTGTCAATTTCCCCTGGTACATGTTTGTGTAATTACCAGCTAAATGGAAATGCAGGCGGATATGGTACATAAAATATACATATGAACATACGTAGGTGTGTTTATGTGGGAGCACACGAAATGCAATATCCACGAAATTCACGTCGAAATCACCAAAAGCGAAAAGATCGCCGATTGCCGATCAACGATCAACGATCGGCACGCACAGTGACGGCAACTGCAACGGACGCTTCAAGAGAGAAATTTTTTACGCTTTGCGCTCGTAAAAATTTGTTTGCAGCTTCAACCAGCCAGCCAGCCATCCATGCATTGCAGTCAATTGAACGTGGAAATCGCCTTAATGGGTGATGATTACTCAATGTCCCAACGCTGGATCAGTGGTGCATACTTGAGCGCAAACATACTAACAAACAGTATTTATATCCATATAGTACATAAAGTAACTGACACAAGAATGCTTTATGGGTATGGGGTATGTATACCACACAGTATATATGTGTATGTATGTGCAGACAATATTTTTCGTAAGCGCTTGCAATTGACGTATTTTCGTTCGAATGCGTTTTTGATGAACGCATATGGGCGCATTGACAGACACTCAGACAGACCGCGCACCACCACTTCAGAATGGAAAACCATTAAGTGCACTTACTTCACTTACTTGATTACTCGCCCATCATAAAAGCGTATGCGTATTTGAACATAAATACATTGGAGAATATCAACATAATGATCACTGCAGTTAAATTAATCGATATTTTGATGTGAGAGATTGCAAATAAATGAAGAAATTAGTGTCTATTCAAAAAAGAAAGTAAAGTAGGTAAATGAGTGGCACACAGTTAGTTCCCCTAAGTAGTACTTAAGTGCAAATGTGACGAAGCGAAGAAATAGTAAGAGCTTATAAGTGTTTCTTTGAATGATTTTTTCAATAAATTTTAAAAATATAGCGAAATGTTGCACAAAATATGGTAAAATAATTTTCCACAGGGTCTGTCCTGAAAGTAATAAGACTGAGTCGATTTAAAAAAATGTACTGAACCGAAGTACCTCGAAATGGCTATTCTGTGTCGATGTAGCGCTGTAGGCGTCACGGAAGGCATTCTTTGGAATAGCTTTGATAACCGAAGTGCAAGCTGCTTGGACCCGATTGACCCTTCGTTTAAGTCTCTCGAGAACTTCCACGTAAAACTTGGCGCTGATGGTTTGTCCAGGAGAAACTAATTCATGGTGGACAATGGCTTTGATGTCACAAAAGACAAGAAACATCGTTTTTACTTTGGACTTGCTCATTCATCAGCGATTACAAAAAGGCCTGGTGCCAACGAAACAAACCACTTCTTGCTAAAACAGCATCTGTGTAAGCCTGCTTGATCATATCAAACGTCTCTGTCACAGATTTACCGAGTTTCACACAGAATTTAATCGTGTACCTCTGCTCTGACATACGATTTCGCGGCGAAAGAAAATCAGTCCTATTACTTTCCCTGTATATCTCATATAGTGTATGTGGTAAGTATGAATTCTGTCTATAGTTGTGTCACTCGAAACTCAAGTTACGCTACAACATTACTTTCGATGCTGAATCGTATGACCCAATTTCTGTTAGTTCTTGTAACTTTGTGTCGAAGCATTAAATTTTGTGTGATTCAAGAAGATGTACATATTTTTTTCGAATAGCCTTTTTTTTGACAGACCGTTTACAAATCGTTCAACTTGATAACGAAAATTCTCGTTTTCTACATAATTTTTTTCGCGCGCTTCGCTGATCTTATAGTCAACATAATCAGCCTACTGTGCATACTATTCGCAACCCATCCATTACCCACCCTGACACCCAGCATTCATCATTGGATAATATTCGACCAAAAAGACCACGGCCAGCACGCAGTGAAGAAAGTATGGCAATCTTAGCTGAGAATTTACACGAAACCCGTGGAGAGTCGATTCGGACACATGGAACGACTTGACGCATTTTACGTGGAGATCTTAAATTGAAAGAGTATAAAATGCAGGAACTAATTGTTTTCGACCTTCCCAAGCGACATAACTTCGCCCAATGGGCTCTTGAAAAGAAGATCCGACGCCGAATTTTATTCAGCGCTGAGGCCTATTTCTGGCACAATGCGTATGTAAACAAGCAAAACTTTTTCTTGTAGGAATGCTTGTATGTAAAGCACAAAGTCTGTGCGAAAAATTCCCGCTTCGATTCATACCATGGAACAAAACATCACGCGTGTTATTCGCCAGTTAACAGTCGAAATGCTCAAATGAGTAATCGAAAATTAGAAGCAACGGATGGACGATCTGAGACATAGCCGCGACCAACATTTGAAAGAGATAATCTTTGAAAAATAAATGCCAAAGAATGTTCTTTCGAATGATAATAAACATTCCCCGTTAAATTTGAAATTTCTGTATTTTTTTTCATTAAAAAAGTAGGGAAAAAGTAGTCGAAATTGCTCACCCTTTATATACACGTGGTACCATTAAGGAATAAGATAAGATTAAAATATACAAAAATTATTAGTTTTTAATATATTTCTTTATTTAAACTTCATGCAATTGAAATAACTTAATTCGAAGCTACAAAATTAATATTTTTTACCTAAGTTTTTCGTATTTGATATGCCACTTCAGTAATGCAAATAAATAACTGTAACTGAATTAAGATTACAAATTTAATAAAAAATAATCATTCTTTATTATATTTTTGAGTTCGACCCTCATGATTGCATAGTAAAAATTTAAATGCATTAAACTCGATGGAAAATTAATTCAAATAAAAATGTATATGTGTGTATGTGTGCTGAAGGATTCGAAAAATATGGCAAAACAATCGTAATGTTATACATACTACAAATATAATACACGTGAGTATATAATAATATGTCTACTAAAAATAAGAATTACAGTCTGTTTTCGATTTTATGCTAACTAAATAACTAATTCGTCCGCCAATACAACAAATTCATGTGTATACCAAATATATATGGCTACATATACATATGTATACATATGTAAACATATACGCGTTTATGACTATGTATGTGTGTGTGTAAAGTCTCTGCATTCCTTTATTTACAATAAGTGCCACGTAACACTGCGTTCTCTCCCTCTCTCTCTCTCTCTGGAGCAATTTAGATCTCATATGCCCTACAAGCATTCCTCCAACTCCTCGCATGACGCAGCCACTATCGTTGACTTGGGCAACTCGATTTCCAGCAACTTCGTGCATGTGCCCGCCTCCTCGTCCTCCTCATCGAGATCGTCTTTGCCACAGCGTTGCTCCTGCATTTCAATATCCAAAGTGCCATGCTGTCTTTGGAAGGAGATGAAGAAAGCCACCACCGAGACGAGCAGGAACATGAGCGCTATGCTGGAGCAAATCACAATTATTAGACCGGAGCGACTGAAGACTGAAGCCGATGTCACATCATTTATGCTGCGTGTAGGCAAAGGTTTACCAATGCCGCCATTACTTTCAGCGGCCATGTGATCATTTAACGTGCGTCCGGCGTTGTGTGGTGGAAAGGTTTCGAAGAGGGTCGCCGCCATTGTATCGTCCAACTGTGTCAACAACATTGTGTGATGTGTCTGTGTGTTGATCGAACGTGAACCTTTCGTCGAGGCGGTGACTTCACCATGTCCGGCACTCACACCCACCAGAAGCGGCACAATGTCTGGATCATCAGTGCTATTGTCGTCTTCATCGTTTACTTGACTATCTTTCAGCGTCGTCGACTGTCCCTCAGTTGTGCTGGTGGCGGTCGGCGAGAGCCCACCGTTTGGTATGTATGTTGTGCTCAGGAGTGAAACATGCTTTCGCTCCGATTGCTTAAGGGTTATACTCTTTTGCAAATTTATTTCATCCTCCACGGTTTCTTGTAAAATGATTGACTCCGTGGTTGAACCACTTTCCGTAATTTCGTTGTCTGGCTCTGTTTCTTGCAGAATCGTTTCTTCTGTGTGTTTATCAATGCTTAAAATTTGAGCATCTTCTTTTGTAGTTGACTTTTCCGTTTGACTTTCAATACCATTGTTTATTTCTGTCAAGTGTTGTATACCGTTGAGAGTATTCTCTTTGTCGTCAGACTGTGTGCTCTCTTCGCTAGTTGTTGGGTTACTTTTATTTTCCGATTCTTGAGCTTCTTGTTCTATCTCGTCAATACTATTATTGTCCTCGTCAAGTTTGTCATCTTCAGTATTATTTTGTGTATTTTCTTCAACATGTCCAGTCGGGTTCTCTACAGGTTCCAAAACAGCCTGCTCGCTGACATTATCTTCTAACTCTAAACTTGATTCCTTTGCCGCATCATCATTCTGTACACTTTGTTCATTTTCATCGTCTACATCGTTTACCAAAGTTACAGCGGGCTTTGTTGTGGTTTCTTCCTCCTCCAAGAGCTCTTCTCTAACTATGTCCACACTGTCTGTTGCCTCTTCCATTGGTTCCTCGTCTAATTCAACACCTTGCTTCTTAATAACAACATGCACACTTTTCACACCCTCGGGCTCAACAGTCGTGGCAACTTCCTCGTTGGCTAGACCATCGCTTTCGTCTAAGTGTAACAGATCTACTGGCAGATCTTCAGCCAAGACTATAGAAGGCTCAGTAGCGGTAAGATTTTCGTTCAAAACTATAGATAAGGATGCTTCATCCGCGACTACAGGCGTTATCTCAGTTTCATCCAGAGCCGCTGGATGAAAACTTTTTTCTATTGTTTCATCGCTGGCATTTTCATTTTCTATATTTGCTGGATCTCGGCTTGTATTCTCCTTTTCATTCAAAATGCTTGATGATGATGCTTCATGGCTCTTAACTGACTCGTGACTATCTTCATTAATTATGCTATTCTCTTCGACACTGACTGGGTGCACTTCGGTTGAAACTTTGGTATTTTTGTCTTCTGGCTCTGTATTATCTTCCTTTATTTGTTGGTCCGATCCATTGCTGAACTCCTTTTGTTCTTTTACACCTTCTTCATCGATTTCATTTGCTTCGTGTGAGTAAAGCGCAGACTCAGATATACGATTAAATTTGGTTTGTAATGAGCTCTTATCTGCAGATAGTAATCCCTCTTGAGCTTCAACTTTGTCTTCTTCAATATTTTGCATGCCTTCATCTCCAGATAACTGTATGTTCGTTTCGCCGCTGGCATTTAAAATTCCCGCGTTTGCGTCACCATTAACATTTAGAGTTCTGGCACCTCGTTGATTGTCCTCAAAAGACTGAACTGTTGAAACTGCCTCTTCGGCTTGTAGGGGGAACAATACTGAGAGGTCATTATTCGCCGATTTTGAATGCCCAGGTGTTGTACTTTCTGGGGAAGTGGATGTTACTGAAATTTGTAAATGTAGAAGTTAATAATCGTAAGACTTTTCTGACATTAGCATCAACTTACACTCTGCTAGTACATCGATCGCGGCACTGGATTTGGTGCTACTCTCCTGTAGCGCGCTTTGTATTAACTTTACTTCGTCGCGTAGTTTGCGACGCACCTCCTCATCCGTTACATTTTGTAGGTGTTGAACCTGGGCAGCCACAATGTCCTGTTCAAATTCGATTTCGTTGCGCACAGAATTGCGTATGGAATCCTCTAGATTTTCGTCAAGCACAGTTTCGGCATAATCGAATTTTGGATTTACGCGTAGATCTGTCGCTGCCTCTTCGCTGACAACTTGCGCGATTTCATTGTTAACATCTTGTGGCGTATTCAAAGCCACTATAGGATTGTCGTGCCGTACAGTACCGCTGTTGACTGTTGACGCTTCCGTTTCATTGACAGCTATAGCAACGGTTATATTGTGCTGACCATCAAGAACTGCGGTTTGATTGTCGACTAAAAGTGGTGTATTAACTGTGGTGGTATAACTTTCAACTGCGGCTTCCTGTGGTGTATTTAGAATGGTGAAATTCATGTCGGTTGTTGTCTCTACTATAGATCGCTTTAAAACAGCTGCTTTGATAGGTGTCGCTGTTAAGTAAAAGAAATGTGGGGACTGTTATTAGCTAATGTTAACTAGAATGTTAATGACATTAAAACTGGATATGATTGTGTTAACTCTGTGTTAAAATACATATGACAAATTCACATATATTAACACAAGATTCACATACATTTATTATTTAACAAAAACTGCTTTAACAAAATATTTTTTGGAATTATAAAAATAATGTTGTAGGTTATTATCCCAAAGTCAGAAGTCAGTCATTCAGTAGCGCATCCATTTCCATGAATTTCTTTTCCTTAAAATTTTCCTTCCATTATGTTATTAATAAAAATTTTACTTCGTAAATTCAACTGAATTTTTATTAAATTAACGGATTTTCAATAGAGACGCTACATAAGTAGAAAGATAAGTACAAGAAAGGGCACCATATTTTTCCCCGTTCTTCTCTTCAGTAAGGTTTGCCATTTCATCAGGGAAAGATATACGATCCAACATTGAATCGAAATTTTTAAAATTTGCCGGCAAGATGGGCACGTTACTTTTAATGAGAATCGCTACCGCTCAATGATAACGGAATATTTTTGACCCCAATTGAATGATGTGGACTTGGGCAACATGTGGTTCCCACAGGACGGCGCCACAAGACACACAGCGAATGTCACAAGCGATTTATTGAAAACCAAGATTCCTGATCGTGTTATCTCACGAAATGTCACGGTCAATTGGCCGCCTCGGTCGTGCGATTTAACGCCGTTAGACTAACTCCTGTGAAGTGGTAATGATAGGGCAAGTAGCCAAGCACTCACTTCTGCAGATAACAGCAGAGGGATGCGGCAAAGGCAAGATAATTTCGTCCCAAAGGATGGAGAGGATAAGTGGCGACATTCCTATTGCCCTCCTCCCAAGGGAAGGCATTAACAGAACAATTCACTTCACAAAGAAGTTTAAGGTTACCCTCGGCAGTAAGAGTGAGTGGAACGACCCCACTCTTGAGCAAATGCTTAGGGATAGTACATTGAGGTGGTATACCGACGGCTCGAAAACGTCGGAAGGAATAGGTGCGGGTATTGCAGGTCCGCGTACCAAGCTCTCCATTCTTATGGGCAGTTTTCCGAGCATCTTTCAGGCTGAAGTCTTGGCTATAAGTCGGTGTATAGAGATAAACCTCCACTTCATCAATATGCTGGGGCTAAGTGAGTCCCTGTGAGTTAGGAGAGGGCACAATAGACCTAAGGTCGCAGTGCATTCCTCATTTATTTATCTATCTATCTATCTAACTCCTGTGGAGCTATGTCAAGTCTATGGTCTATGCCAATATCGATATTGATATTTATACTTTCAATGATATTCCTTTTGTAGCACTCTTATTGAAAAACCCGTTATTTTCTGAGCTCTCGATCTATTAAATATGTCCATCGCAAATGCATCTTTTCCAATCAATTTTATGAAGTAAGTGATCGCAAATCCTTGTGAGCTCATGACTTATGTGAGAATTGGTTGTAAAATAAACAATTTTTGTCGAACTTCACTGATACTTCATATGATATAAACTCTTCGTCAATCTCTTCTTACCACCGAACTAACTACGGAGTCTAAACCGTTCAATGGGTTCGCCACTGCGGCCATTTAATACAAGTGATTTAATTTATATAAATCGTTATTCAAGAGGTAAAATATGAATTTTTTATAACTATGTCTTGAACAAAGCTGGTCGTGGCGGAAGGAGGGCAATTATTTTGTAATTTTGAATTTATTTGTAACTAACAGGACATCCTGCTTTAAAACATTATGCGCTACGTTTAGATTCGGTCTTTGAAGTGCCTTTTTACAAAGTTTGTGTATGCATATTTTTATATGTATATGTATACCATATACAACATGAACATTGGTATGTTGGTGATATCTTTAACGACAGGTTTAAATACATAACCAAACAGACTTCCAAATCCAAATACATATGTATGTATGCACATCATTCATCACAGCAYAAATGCGTGTGTCAACTTAGGTAAATTCAAACATACATATGTACGTATAACATGTACTACACGCCTTTGTACATATGTATGAATGTACATACGACCTGCAGTTAATAATGTTTAAGATCACGGAGATATTTATACAAATATGTACATATGTATGCACATGATATGCATTCTGAATGTAAATAGTAAATCTAAAAATAAAGAAGATTTATGAGTTGTTTTCCTACGCCCTCAAGCTTGTCTACTCAATGTTTATACAGAAAGCGATCGTATTACTGAGAATATGCTATGATATTTCAACACATTTTCAACTAGTAGTAGTTAGAAGTATTTTAATATTAAAGAGTTATCGCAAGTGAGCATTTTAGCGCTCAATACAAAAAAACATTTTCAAAATTAAATGAATTCAAATCTTTCTTTCTTTCATATTTAATTACAAGTTTTGTGAATTCATTTTGGAGCTAAGGAAAGTTCAATAAAGAATGAAAGGAACTTCTGATATACGGAATTATTTAGCTTTCGAGTATTTGCCATAACGAAACTGTAATTTTTAATACATTGGAATTTAAGGATTTTTCGTTAAAAATTCAAAGAAAATTATTAAGTCATAGTTGCCAGCTGACTGATTTTGCTATTTATGGCAAAAATTACAATATTTGGAATATAAAAAACAACCGGTTTCTTATTGGCTTTTAAAAATATTCTTAACTGGAATCCAGATTTCTAAAGTAGTTATTGAAACACTAAGTTGGCTATTAGGGCTTACAAAAATATAATGTTTTACAAAAATGAAGGTAAAATCTACTGAATCGAAATGGTAGGACTAAAAGGTAATATACAATATCATAGGTTTTCAAAGCAGAAAGGTAATCAGTACTTAATTCCTCCATAGCTTCTTTTACGTAGGCATTTTTAAGTATCGATGGAGGCGTCATTTAAAAAAAAAAAAAAAGATGCACCCAATATAGTGCGAAGAATTTTGAAAGACTTGAATAACTTTAAAAATTTTTTCAGCTGAGCTGATATGATAAGTGAAATATTCATATTTCGGAATCAAATTTCTGTTGCCGAAACGTTCAGATTGTTGGAAAACCCTTAGATGATAATTGTTTGTCAAGAGCTAGTGCTTTTGATTAGTACAAATTATTCAATGAGGGTCGAGAAGGCGTTAACGACAAACCACTTCCTGAATTTCCATTCATATCAACTGATGATCAACACGTCAAATAAAATAAACGAATTGGTGCTTGAGAATCGGCTATTAATAGTCAGAGATCTTACTCACATTGTTCAAATATCGGAAGAATTAGTGAAGATATTTTGAAAGATCAGTTTGCCTAAAGAAAGCGAAAGTACGATTGGTCCAGAATCACTAACTTTTTTTTCGAAAAACAGAGTCGCGTTAACGTCTGAGAAACATTCTGGCCGAAATCGGGAAAAACCACGTCAAAGCAGGTCAAAAATCAAGGTTTCGTTGACCCTTTTCTTCGATTATCGAGGTGTGGTGCATTCCGAAATATTTCCAACCGGCCAAACTGTCAACACAATAATGCACCGTCACATACTGTTATGATTCTTCAAAAATTTTTCGATAAATTTTCAACCATTATCATGCCACAACCACCGTATTCGCCCGATTTAGCTCTGTGTGACTTCGGCTATTCAGCAAACTCAAACGTCCTTTTCTCGCTAAGAAGCTGCTCATTGATCGGGACTTTGTATGTACATAGTATATATCTCACATACAAACTGATCTATTAATATCAAGCTAAAGTTATTCGTATACACTTTTTGCCATAGTATTTCTCAGAAAGGGTACGATGCAATCACAGTTAACGTTTCTTCTTGTTTTTGTCCATATTCCGTCCACTGTGCTGCGTTACAATGAACTCGCTTAGTATATTGTTATTTTGTTATCACTGATGATAACTGAGCATATACAACACGAATACACACATATACTGCGGTATGTATGTATGTCGGTATGTGTGCTTGCATGTCAATAATCATAATTCTAACTCGAACAGAAGTCAACAACTCATTCAAGCATGTGGCATGCCACGCCACAATAATAGGGCAATAGCACTTGGAGGCGACTTGCAAGATAAGCGCCCGAAAAACCCTAACTAATTCGAACATTAAAATGGAAATGAGGCTGGCCACAAGCGGCTACCAACTGGTTGCGGCGCTGCACTAACAACAATATTTTCATTGGCTGCAGTAAACAAACACATGCAAACAAACACGCATACAAAATTTATTATGCATTCCCGATAGCTTAAATTATCACACAATAAAAGCGCGGACGGCCAGCGACAGATTGCCGAACTGCAGTCAAAGAGGCCAAGACAGCAGCACATATGTGTATGTGTATTTGTGTATGTGTATATGTGCATGCAACATGCATGTGTTATTTATGCCCTACTGTTCTATGTTTTTGTTAAAATGAAGATTTGTGTGTCCAACATGCTCCCATGGGGAACCTTCTTCTGACGCTGTGCCGCTACCAGTCTATGGAGTGTATGTTTGTATGTACACCTATGTATGTGTGTTTGAATAAGTGTGGCATGTCAAGAATTTATCAAATGACGAAATTCTAAAGTAAAAGCACCAACTTGTCATTCTTCTATGTCACAGCCACATTCTGCGGCACATAGAGATGACAGCGGCGCGTTAGACACATTTGAACAAATCAATATGCCAGGCAGACCGTGTGGCACACAACAGCCGCATAACATCAAAATAGCCAAGAATGCAAACGGGCATAGACATGGCAGGCACAATAGTTGGTTTCGCAGCGGCAAGTTCATTTTGGGGAAAATGTCTTTGAAATCTTGCAGAGGATTTTCCGAAATGCCAAAGCAAAGACCCCAACGAATTGGTGAAATCTGACGACAGCTTACTGCAATGGCAGTGGCGGAGCAAGAGTTTGGAAGCGTTGCGCTGTGAATGGAAAAGGATTATGCGTAGCGGCCGACGATAAGCTTTTCCCACGCTTCCATTCATTTCATTGTTTACTCATTTTATCAAGTTTAATG